GAGAAGTTAGAGGTAATTTTCGAGACAATTTCAGGCAAAATGGTCGTTCAAACCATAGCTAATTTCCTTAGAGATGAAATTCAATTACATTCGGGTCACACAAAGGAAACTGTTTTCAATTATTCGTAGTATTTTAATTTTTATTATTTAATCCAAATTCCAAACTATAAAGAACTTGGATATGGGGAAGAAATAATAAACTAATTGGGACACACGGTCTATCCCAATGTATGCTAACATGGCTTAGTCTTTTACGTGCAAAAGAGTTAGTGTGAAAAGAGAAAATAACAAGGAAACGAAATGCAAATGAAGATGGATATCAAGGCAACACACCAAAGGCTAAAATGGTAGCAATTAACTATGTCCACGACGCGTATTCAAAGCTCAAATCTTTGACAAAAATTATTTTCGACACTGTTTCTACATATTCAGGACTCCATGTTAATATGCTCATTAATTATATATGCCACAGTCGGTATAGGTCTTGGCGCCGATTCACCACAAATATCTCATTGTTTGCGCCGCAAACTGCATATATATCTCACGCAAACTCTAAGATTTCAAAGGTTGTAAAATAGGAAATGTTCAAGAGAAATTGTAGAAATTTCTACGTATATTACTATCAATCACTTAATTGGTAAATTCCTAGCATTGAATATTGAAGACATGTTGCCCTATAAATATGAATCACACAAGTCACATTGCTATATATGCTTCATCAACACTGTCTTTGTTAATACACAAAACTTGTCCCAATTTGAAGCAGCTACATAGCCAGCTCCCATAATGAGTTCCCAAAAAAACATTCAGAAAATTCTTTGCCCTGTAACAAGGCCACCACCTCAACCTCAAGGCAGTAATTCCAACACTCCAACCCGTGGGACTAAATTGCCCACCATACAACAGGTCTTTTCAAAAAGGAAGTAGAAGGTCTATTGAAGGTGCATGAAGGGAGGCATGTAATATGCTGAAAATGTTAGATTTATTGTGTCTAGTTTTTTTCTTTTATCTTAATAAAAATGGGTTAAGTCATAATCCACATGCGATAGATTAGAAGGTTTGTTGTATCCATTAATTTATTCGTTTGATTTTATGTTTGTTGTGTGAATAATGGAGTCACTATTCACTTTATGTATTTAGTACTGCAATTTTTTCTCTTGTACTTCGTTTCTCATTGTAAAAATTTCGTGATAAATTATCTTTAATTTATGACCAGTATCTTTGTCTTTGATTTACTCATCTCTTAAAGACTAAACAATTTCATCATTTTCTCTCTTCTTTTAAAATAAATTAAAAATAATCCTACCTAATAATCCCGTTGTATAATTAAGTAAAAGGGTTTAAATTAGAAACAGAGGCTAAACAGTACAGAAAATAATGAAATTTAAAATTGTTTAACATCGATCATCCACTGAGTTCTAAATTTTAAGAATAGAATTAAGAATGATGTGTATCGCTGCATATAAGGAAAAATATATTAAGAGGTTTAACCTCAATATAACATACTACAGGACAGATCATAATTTTGTTGATCATTGACCTTACGAAAAATTACAAATTTAATATCGGGAATTGTCGAGAATATAGTGTTAGTTGATTATTAAAGTACTATCTCAACTTGTAATGATCATATTAATATTTTAATTTAACGCATCCCTTGCACAAGAGTTATTGGACTTGAAACATAAATAATAAATTAGTTTTTTAATTTTTTTTGGAAACGAGGAGAGTGAGATTGTGATCACTTACCATTCTTTAAACTCAATAAATTTTTATATGAGAAAGTATTTTAGAAAAATCTAATATAAAATCATTAACTATTAATGTGGCCCTTACTTAATCGTTAAACTTTTCACTCGGTGAAATGATTGATTAATATTGAACTTAAAATATTTCCACATTGAGTTATTAGTTGAGAAGTGTTAATATACGTGCAGAGAAAAGGTAATTAAAAAGCAACTTTGGTACCATCTTTTTAAGTTTGACTTTGTTACTTTAAAAATAGAGGACATAACAATATAACAATTATAGAATGGGACAGGATATATGACATGACGTGACTTGCTATAATATAGCATAAGCTACAAAGTACAAACAGAGACGGTCTGCACTTAAAACACCGAAATGCCACTGGATATATATAATACCTTATATTTGAATTTTTCGTATCTGACAAATGAAATTTCTGAAAGCGATTTCAGTCGTTAACTCTTCTAGGCCCGTTTGTTTCTCCTTTCAGAAAAAATAATTTTTTTTCTTTCTTATTTTTAAAAATATATTTTACAAAATTTAAAGTTATTTATATTTTTATAAAAATATTTAATTTTTTTAAAAATTATTTGACTTTTAACTTCTGCTTTTTTTAGAAGTTAAAATTTTTAACTTCTAAAAATGTAAGTTTTCGACTTTTTTGTGACTTCTATTGTTTTTTAAAATAGACATCCAAACAAAATTAAAGTGAGAAATACTTTTTTTTTGTTGAAAAAAATAGCTTTTGGAGAATAAAATATCCATCCAAAGAGGCCCTAAATGGTTAGTTTTTCCCCTTCCAATAGTAAATGATATCTTTTTTGTTTCTTCTAAATCATAATGAAACAAAATCTTTTTGTTTTGTTCAACAACAAAAACAATTAATTAGTTTGTTTCTTAAGAATTATGTTATTTCGACAAAGCGTACATATGTTTTTTAACATAATATGCACTACATCCGCATGATCTATGTAGTTGATTTTAAGCATTGTGATGACTTGATTTTTTATTTTTTCTTGAAAAACTCATGTAATTTGTAATTTCATTTACTCAGTCATTATTGTTAATAAGGTAGCTTGTTACGTCCAGGTTCTATATTTTGCAGCCCAAGAAGACAAATGGAGAAATAAAATACTAAATGGGACTTAACAAACATATTTAAGAGAGAACTTAATTTATAACGCTATTTTATTAATAAATTAGCTTTCCAATAAAAGACAAACTTACAAAGGAAATAACAAGCTACTTGTGATCATCCTTTGTAATCACAAGATACTTGCATATAACTTATAAATATATCAGAGATACTATAAATTTACATGTGGAAATGGGATTATCACACATTTTAGCACTAAGGTTGTAAACTAAAAACACTTACGAAACAAACAATTCAGAAATTAACAAATAATGAATAGTTGACCCAATCTGCTGCAGTAAATGTTCTTCCTATATAGATCCTACTTCCACATGAACCTGCAACAAAATCAAAATGATATATGACATATATAGAATACGTACAGACACCATGCCTTAACGAAAATTAAAATAAAAAATAAAATAAAATGAAAGAAATAATTCTAATCCCTTGCTGATTTAGAAAACTTTTTGTTTGTTATGAATGAAAATCTAAATAAAGTCATGATTCGAATTTTAATAATAACTTTAAATGCATAAAAAAAATTCAGAATTCAGAATTCGATTTTTCGGCAAACATATACAAAAAAAGAAAAAAAAAAAAGGGAATTCATTTTCTTTAGGGCTATAGGAAAGAAAACCATGTGCAAAAGATGAGAAATAGACTATAACATATGGGATGGTCAGTTATTCATAGGACACGTTATGTGTAAATCTTTCATAGGTTTGAATACTAGGACACGTTTTGATGAAATGTTGTCCCGCTTTCGCTTAACATTGCATAGAAAGTTTAGGGATATTTCGCTACGTACCGGTGCTTATGTTCATGTGTCGTGAAATAATTCTATTTTTTTATTGTTTGGAAAAGAGAGGTTAAATGACTGCGGTTGACATTAGCTATCATCTTTGTTAATATTATACATTACTTTTATTTTGGGGACATTATCTGTTGTTTGGAAAGATAAGAACGATTGAAAAAATATTAATATTGAGAAGCGGAAATCATTTTTGCATCAATAGTTTTATCTTGATATTATTCATTTATGATGTTATGTCTTACATCTCAATAAACAAAAAAGAAAAGAAATGTATTATATATGTATTATTTTTATTTGAAATCTCAATATAATAATACACTTTCCCCTTTAAACATTCACCAAAACAATTTTCGTCCGTCGAGCTTTATAAAAAGAAATAAGAAAGACAAATGTGGCATATTTCAAAAAAAGAAGAAGAAGACGACGACAAATGGTGTAATTTTCATAAGGGTAAAGTATTTCTCCAATTACTGGAGATAGATTATTTCAAAATTACGTTATTTTGAATTAATGATGAGTATTTCTATAATTTTAAAGGAATTAATTAATGATGTTTTGTTAAAATTTATATGATAAAAAGATTTACAAAAAATCATTCATTAATCCAAAACGATGTAATTTTAGAGGTCAGTGTATATAACCTATCTCCAGTTACTAGTATTCATGATTTTCGGGAAAGAGGATACGCATTTCCTGTATCTTTGAATTTTGAATGACGAGTTGAAGAATACAATAACACATGGCCAGACGTGTTAACGTATTAATTGGGTATGAATTCAAAGATGGTTCTTTTCCTTGATCCTTAATTTACAAGGAACCCATACTGATTAAATTGGCTCTGCATTTCGTAATGCGGACTCTGAATAAATTTTTATACATTTGTTAATACAAAAATACAGAAGAATGATTTTTTTCAAGCCTAATAATCAGTAATGATCATATTCATTCTTATATACATAAGTGAATTTGTAATTTTGTGAAATAGAATGAGATCCAACTTTTCTTTTTCTCAAAACATGAAATTATGCTTCATTTTTCTTTCAAGGTGGACTCCCAGTTGCACAATGAGCAAATATGGGAAGTATATATCCTCATTTTCTAATTATTACAGTGTCTTAAAAAATTTAATTAAAAAAAAAAAAAAACTTATGAGTAGACGTGATATGTCAAGATAACATTATGTTCAAACTAAACGAGGGATTTAGAACAAAAAAACAATCACAAGCATTTGTTACTTAGGTTGGTAAACATACATTGTACTAATAAATGAGAAAAACAATACAAAGTTAAAACCTATAAAGATTTTAAATGGAAAATGACTGCTGCAGAGTCACAAAAAGAGGGTTGTGAAAAAATCAGAACCATTGCAAAAACGTTCAAGTGATATAGTGGCTCAAATCGAAGGATATGTCAAGAAAATCTGTAAAGATCATCACTCTACCCAAAACAAATTAAGTTTCCTAGTTGTACACCAGCAATTTTATGACAATCAAATTGTGGACGACCTAACAATAACAACATCATATTTTCATTGAAGTATTTGACTACCATAATCAGCATTAAACTTGTCATATTTGTGGGCATGGAGATGAGCAGATGGCCTTGTGTTCTTTAAAGCTGTCTCTATATCTTCAGGTTTGACTGGCCCAACTTTTGGCAACTCTGCAACCCAATAATTACATTTAGTTCACGAGGAGTAAAATTAAAAAGTAAATATTTATGAAAATAGTCATCATATTGTTCAATGAGAATTGCTCATGTTTGAAAAATCAACTTAAAGTAACAACTATATATCCTTGTTCCTGTGTAGACACATTTTGGCAAGTTAACTCATTGAGGTTAGATTCGTAAACAACATACCTTCTTCAGGCACCACCTCTTGTCGCTGTTCAAGTTGTGACATTAAGCGTCTCAAGGGCTGCATTGCTGTCTCTTTAGAGAGTAATCGGATATCTGAGCCTGAATATCCTTCTGTCTGGTCCACCAATAAATCATAGGGGATCGGTTCCTCACCAGGCAGTGAAGGAAGGAGTTCCTCAAACATTGCTCTTCTCGCTACTGGTTCTGGAAGTGGTACAAGGATCTTTTGATTACGGTCAAAGGAAACCATTAGAAAAAGATCGCAAAGCTTTCAATTGCAAGATCAGTTTGCTTATTGGGCATCATCTAAAAACGCATTCAGCTATGATCTATTCTCTACAGTAATAGGGAATAACCATCAATTTACTGATCAGGGGGTGTAAGAATGTAGTATGTAAGTGGCAGCATTTTTATCTGCAAAATGGATCTAAAAAATAGTAAATTCCTGTACGTCCCTAATATCTTGAATTAGTAACCCAAAAAAAAAAAAACCCAAGATACACCGAGCTTCATGCATACCAAGTTTACAAATAGACCTGTACTTGTCTAGCAATGAATTTCTACGCAGAGTAAAACTAAAATGCAAAGATAGATAACAAACCAAGAAAACGAGATAGAGTGCCAGGTTCATTTGTAAAGAATAAAAAGTTCAAATTCCAGTAGTCTAGAAATCATGAGAATTGAGGCGATAGGAAATGCCCAATAATTTATTCCATGCTCCAAAAAAAAAAAAAAAAAATCAAAAACCTAACAAATCTTACATGTTTCTTCCCCAAGAACAATTATAAAGCCAATGAAGTAAAATGTAATTTAGAGGACTAGAACAATTTGACTTATTTAATTATTATGAACACTAAGCATAAGAATATATCAGAAGGATACTCGTTTCTCAAGACGTCGAAGCATGGCTGCATCCAATTCCCAGGGAAGATTTGTTGCCGCCAAAACAAAAACAAGTTCATCTGTGCGTGTCAAACCGTCCATCTGCAATCTAATCCGAATGATTAATTTTGGAGAAAGCATGGTGTAGAATACACATGCCACTCCATTGTTAATTGATAACGCATATTAACTTATTAAGATGCACTGAGACTAAATTGCAGAGGGCACAAGCTCCCAAGAAAAAAAAAATCTTTTACAGTTTCAAATGCCAATCATCATGGGAAACATAACAGCTAATGAATCAAGTCAAGATAGCTGCATAAGTAAAATTTTGACAATCTATCTGAATATTTACGAGAAATAATCTCAGTAATCATTGTTTACTGTTCAAATTAAGCATGAGATGTTTAAGGACCTACCTGCACAAGTCAATGGAACTACAAGAAATGCAGTATTACATGAAAAATAAAATCGGAAGTAAAAAACAATATGGTAGGGTGCTGAAATTCTTAAAAATCTGAAGATTATCGTCACTGCTCATTTAAGCAGATTTGGATGTGACACATCCTTTTACATTCTATCTTCAAGTTACTGGACTAATTTAATAAGGGCTAAGCTATTATGTTTTTAACACAATGATTGAAGAACTGGGTTAGGCTGTAATTGCTTCTAATCAAAGAAAATGTACCAGTACCAACAACTATTGGTTCAAGTGATAAGAAGTTTGTTTCCCTTAATCAGAGGTCTCAAATTTGAGCCCTAAAAATGGATAAATGATCTTGGGAAAGCCACCCCTTATATGGATCCAACCACGCTCGAACCGATTAAGTCAGGAATTCAATGAACCGGTGGACAATTCCAAAGAAGATATACCAATCACATAATTGCCTGCCTGTACATGATTCCCCCCCCCCTTTTCCTACATTTATATATTCCCCTCCTTAACAAACTACTAACAGAATGTCCATCCCAGCACACATTCCCCACCTTTCCGCAGCCACTACCAACATTGCTTTCTTTAATTTGATTTCCTGTATGCTGCCCTTTACTCAAGTAGTTCTTTACTTGGCAAAATTACCTGAAGGCTACACTTTCTTAAATCCAATTGTAGATATTATGCTAGTAATAGCTGTACTTTTTTCCCTTTTAGTCTTTACTCAAGTAGTTCTTTAAGATTTTAATGAGATCTTTAATTTGAATGATGTGCCATGACAGAAAAAATTTAGCAAAAAGTCCTACACTGACTAAAGCCCAAAGTCAAAGCAAAAACCCAAGAAGTTACTGAATTTGAATTATAGTCTCAGTCCTCAAGACTCATGAGCTTGTATCGATGGAATTTATGGTAGTCAATAGTTTATGAGTTATGACCATGTATATACTGTATATGCATTCCTACTATTGCTTGCTGGACAAGAAAACCTCAAAAAAAGAGATTTCCAATGTTTGAAGAAAAATGCTAGCGAACACTCTTTGACACTCTTTTCAACACTATTATTGGGTAAAATCCCATGCTAGGCCTACTAATAGAGAGTGGACCTATGTTATTTAATACAGCATGAGCTTTCACCCAATAATAAAAAGTGTAGAAAACAAAGTGTCACAGGGTGTGTTGCTAGCTCTCATGTTTAAATTAACAAAAGAAAGCACACTCAGATTTATATATGTAACTACATAAATGAAAAAACAATACATAATAAAATATAAAACAAATTTTGAACTCAAATTAATTTTTAAATTTGTCAAATTGGCAAAGAAAACTAAGTTCTTCTTTCTCCAATACTGCCATGCATAAATTTGTAGTCTGCTGCATTGTACAACACAGACATCAAAATGAAAGAATAACAATTCAAAAGTGATGAAATCATACCAACAGAGTTTCCAAATATGACATCTCAGAAAATAAACAATTGGTGCGGTTGGTGGTAGATCCAACAGTAAAAATAAAGCAAAATAAAAACTTTTAACAATCATATTACTCTAATCTAATTAGTAATTTAATGATACGGAAGTATGAACAATGTAAGAAACAAGCATCACCTGAATGAGTAGCTCAGTTTTTAACCGTCTACTTGCTTCATGTTCACTGCGTGCTTCACCACGTTGACTAATGATTGCATCAATTTCATCAAGAAATATTGTTGAGGGCGCATGATGCCTTGCAAGCTCAAATAACACCTTCACTAACTTCTCCGAATCACCTGCAATCTAAATAAACTTCGTAAATGTACATATTCGCTAAATAGTAAATAACAAATACAACAAAGAGAAAGAGGAATAAGGAGCACTTTAAAAGCCCTCTTTCTATCAAGAAAAAGAAATGGAGGCAGACAAGCCAGCAATTAAAATGAAGTAGCCAAGAAATCACATCTTTGCATTAAGGTTTCATCACCTAATGGAAAGCACGGGGATTTAGACACATTTTTCTTTGATACCTCCAATGATTTCATCTCCAAGAAAAATTTCCTTTATAATGAGAATTGGGTGTTGGAAACATAAAAAGGACAAATTTATTAAATTTCAATTCAAGAGTATCTTTGTAACAGTATCTTCACGTCAGAGTTTTATATTAGTAGATGCATTATAATCTACAATCATTCCAAATCAATGTTCTGTCTGCAGGTGCACATCCACAAATGAGCATGTGATTAGGAATAATACTGGAATAAAAATAATTTTTTAACAACATTTAACAGTTTTTTGTGTCGCAACTTGACAAAATTTAGTATTGAATTAGAAGCTCTCATCATCGAGATCATATGCACCAAATTTAACGGCATTTGAAGAATAAAGCCTGATGATCAATAAGAAGATTAATTTGTAAAAGCTATCAAATGTAAAAATAGTGCCATATAGTTTACAAAAATATATTCTACACTCTTTCTTTCAGATCATTGGTTATACAATGAGATGAGAGAGAAGCTGAAAACACAAAAAATGGTCCAGGTTGAGCGTAGCTTAGAGGGTCATGCAACCAATTGTTTTAATCCAAATCATCCATGCTATGTTTGAGTTCCTCTGACTCTGACAATAAACCAGCATTTTTTTAACATGATATATGTTGTGTGTGCCCGTCTGTATCTGTTTGGCTAAGTAAAACAGACGATGAAGGTGTTGAACAAGTGACCTTTCCAAACCAAATAGGGTATATGATCAATTTGCAAGATTCACGGTAGTTGCTAGCATCATAGTATTTGAAGAACAATAGTTAGTCGTATTATCTTCCAAATACAGATTATTCTATCTTTTTTTAAAAAAATTACACCAGCATTATCCTCCTCTTATGCTCAGCAAGAGATTTAAGTCACTTTCTTGAAAAAATGAACACTTCCAGGTTTCATACCTAGATTAAGATTTACATAAGAAACATAAATAGTCCAGAAAGTGGGAGAAAAAAGGTTGTTAGAAACATGCCTCGCCATTTGCTGACAACAGATGATGCTGAAATATTAAAAAATGTAGTCTTGCATTCTGTTGCAACTGCCTTTGCAAGCATTGTCTGCAACATTCAAACAAAAGTTATGTAGTTATTCAATTACTCAAAAAAAAAAAAAAAAAAATGATATATCAAATCAAAATATGAAAATAGAAAAGCTATATACTTCCTACAACATAATGATTTTTGAATATGTAATTTTATTCGCACACAAAATTAAATTCTCTTACAATTTTAGTATGACACTGAGGAAGCAACCCTATAAAAATTTTGGGGGAGTGGTGATACAAACCTTTCCTGTCCCTGGAGGGCCAAAAAGGAGAATGCCCTTCCATGGTGATAACAGACCAGTAAAGTACCTAGACACATGAGAAAGATCAAATTGACCATGAGAAAAGATTTCACTCTATATCTCTAGAATATTTTTTAGCACATATGCAAGTTTAGCAATGCAAACATTTAAATATTAGTAAGGAAAATATCTTAATGCAGCCACTTTTGGCATTACTAGGTGCTTGAAATCCAGATCTCGGTATTTTTTTAAAAAGTAAACTAAATGACTGATGTTGTTAAAATTGCAAAATAACAAATCTTGAGGTCATAAGCTGCTTTGTCATTTTCAGACAACCAGCATTCAAAACATAAGAGTCAACCCGACCTCCTTTTTGTCCCCTTTAATTCAAGGACTTTAAAATGAGAGAGAGAAAAATCAAATTAAGAAAAGAAACATGTTAAGAAGGAAAATAAGTATAAAAAATGAGAATAAAAAGATCCTCCTAGAGCAACCAAGATAGAAAGAAAATAAAAGAAAAAAGTGCATTTGCTCATAAGAGCTCTACAATCTCTTTGTAAATCACCCCGTTGAAGAAACCATGAGGCAAAACCCGTAAGGTAGGTGTTGGGCTATGACATGTGGGCCCAGGTCCAGCAATGCAAGACCATTGCAATTAGTTAGAGGAGAGAGATCGAGAGGCTGTTATATGCAGGTGATTTTGGTTGGGATTGACTCTCACGCATGAATCTGTAGAATTGTGGATTTGAGGGATCTCTCTGGAACCATGGTTGTGAGGTTCTTGAGAGTGAGCTTTGGAGGGTCATTTGAGGAGTTCCTTGTTTAATTACTGTTTAGTGAGTTTTCTCTGTAGCTGTTGCAGTGACTCTGCATTTGGTTCATCTTTTTGTTTCTGGGTTGCAGTTCTCTTGTAGGAGCTAATCTCCAATCTTGTGTGTTCAATAGAAAAATACTGGTTCCATCAATAGGAAACAAAGAAAACTACTCTATCTCAGAAAAGGTGTGAGGGGAGAAGCTTCTGATGAAAGACTATGGTATTTCACTCGATAGAGATAACATAACTCCACAAATAAAGCATAATTCCAAATACCCTCACTTCCACTTCTCTCTTGCCTGTGTGCTGCAACCTACTAGGCAAGTTATTCAATCTATGAGGTAAAGTGGCAACAGAGGAGCCATTGTAATATTGTCTAAGGACTCATTTAGACTAACATATTGATGCTCAGAAAACAATGAAAATGCTTGACTAAGTAAAAATATGTATGATTTACATACTGGAGATAGTAAAGGAAGGTAGACATAAAAGTGACCCAAAATATTGGAATTTCCAGCTGTTTATACATAAGAATATTCCATCTAGTTCCAGACCTTATAACATCATGAAATAAATAATGTAAATTTATTAACTTGGGAAGTTCTAGATAAAATATTGGTTCATGCTGAAGAAAAATATATATAGGATATTGCTTATAAAATTAAAGCAGTATGTAAGCCATCATACAGTTCAACTAAGAGAAAGTTAATCTTATGTTCCTATTATCACTGCTTTCATGTTAAAATATTAAAAAATGAGTTTATTTATTTATTAGTTTGAATGATCTACAATATCCAACAAAAAGATCTCATCGATGACATATAGAAGAATACCTTGACAAGCAGTCAAACAAAAATTTCATCAATAGCTCTAAGATATACTATGCGTAGTGAGTTTTCAATAATGATACCTACTTGGGATACTTAATTGGCATCACAACAGCCTCTTTCAGTAAACGTTTTGCATTCTCTAACCCCTTGATGCTTTCCCACTTTACATCTGGACTCCCTCGAATGATATCCCTGCCAATGGTTATGTGCAATTATATAAAAATACATGAAAAATATAAAATTAAAATAAAATAAAACCACTTCCCGTTAAACCCGACCAGCGAGTGTGAGGTGGAGGCAATCCTTGTACGCAGCCTTACCCTTGCATAATTGCAAAGAGGCTGTTTCCTAGATTCGAACCCATAACCTTTCAGTCATGAAGGAGCAGTGTTATCACTGTGCCGGTCCGCCCCCCTTTAAAAATACATGAAAAATAAACTTACAAAATAGAATCCAGCATGTAAACCTTGACAACTCACAATGTATCCCCTCCATGTAGTCATCAGTTATATTAAGTGTGTGAAAGATTAAAAGAAGAGAAAATTTACCTACTTAAGCTCTCTGCTAAAGAACGCATATCTGCAGATTCAAAAGGTGGTAGCAAAGACTTCTGCCTGAAAATGTTAAGGATAATTATCAATAGTTCAGAGAATGAAGAAATTCTCTATCTTTCATATAGTCTCTTAGAGTCAGAAAACTCAAGATGATACTGCTAATGGTTACAGTTGTGACTAAAGATTAAAGGATCAATTTCAGCTGTGGCTGCTAAAAGATGCACAATTGTATGATATTCCCTGCTTCTTCCCTTTAGTTGGGAACAAATTATCCATCTTCCATACAGTCCCTTAGAGTCAGAGAACCCATGAGATGATACTACAAATTGTTACAGTTGTGACTTGTGAGTAAAGATCAAAGGATCAATTTCAGTTGTGGCTGTTAAAATATGCACAGCTAAATGATATTGTCCATTTATTTCCTTTAGTTGAGGCAAAAACCTCAAAGATATGGAGTAAGCATGAACCTCAGGCAACGAAAGAAAATAGAAACTTCCTCAATCCTATCACTGTCTAACCCTGCTTGTCTAATTTTGAGTATCAAGGACTTTAGCCATAGTTGAACTAATTTGTTGTTCAATCAGTTATGGACGATAACCTACTTGTTTGTTATACAAATAACATTTTAACATTCCAATAATTGCTATAATTAGTGTAAGTTACACCAGTGCCATTTTTATTAAATAAAATTTGATGTTTCTTTCATTCAATACATGACAAAAGACAAGAACTGGAATACTGGATAGCTGACTATATCCCACCATTTTTAAAATTACTATATTCAATATATACAAAAAGTTTTTGCAGCCAGCCACGAAATTACATATAAGAATCAGTCTTTTCTGAAAACTTCTACGTTTGGATTTCATGCATATCAGTTTTGCCAGTAATTAACACACAGATTAGCACATGTATAGGCCCTGCTAGGCTCAGAGAATACAGTATTCTCCCAAGCAAGATTGGTTTCCACTGTTAGCACTAACAGTTACATTCACTTTTGGCAGCATACTACTGACTTATATGCAATGATAGTACACCACTACCAGACAATTACCTAATTAATCAACTTCAAACAGATAATTTCTCATATAATTTCAAGTATAGAAACTAATGGCTTCAATAATTGGTTAACTAGCTATTCAATATCCAATTATAACTTGACTGACAACTCAAGTAATCTAATATTTTTCCTTCTCTGTTTTTATTTGATTAATTGTCACAGCAGAAAAGAAACACTTATCGCTTTTAAGTGAGTATGTGCAAATTACAAAGCCCAAAACTACAAAGTGATGGAAGAAAAAATCGTACGGCCTTTCGTCCATATTGTTTGGTGAAAAACCATTAGTATGCCTCGGATGCTGCCCCTGAAACAGAGAAAATTGAAGCATGATAAAGCACAAATCAGTAAAATTTGAAGGAGCAGTGACCAATTCGCCACGAAACTTGATATAACAGACATAGTACCTGGCTTTGAAACTGCTCATAAATAGCCATATCAGATGTTCTTTTGGCATGCATATTGCCATTAGATGCAATGCCCAACGAACTTCCGTTACTGACTGCTTTATCAGCAGTCTCGCCATTCTCCACGACTTTCTTCCTACCAAACTTCACATCATAATACATTTTGAAGTCCTGGAGATCCAAACAAAGAATGTCAACTTCTCAGTAAAAATAAAATTCAATCCACCAGATCAAGATTCTAAACCACATCTAACCAAGTCAACAAACGAAAAACTAAGACGTTACACGAGGTACAAAGAGCAAAGTATAATTTCCGATAAATTCCGCAAACTAGTAAGAACACAAACGAAAATCGATCCGAACAACTAGAACAGCTCTAGTTAATTGCACGACGAGAAAATGGAAGAAGAAAACATTGAAAGAATAAAATAAAAATGGATCCTCCTACTACTACTGCACAATGATTCAAGGTACCGTAACAAATTGTTCTACTAGGATCAGCGAAATTTAGTCCAGAGAATCGTGGCATCAAAACGAAAAAAAAACAAGAAGGAATCGAGAATCACACACGGTTCTAGTGTAGGGGGATTTTTCTCGGGAAACAAACAGAAAAGAGAAATTAAAACCTGGAAAGACCAGCGAGTTGGCATTGGTTCATCGGCCATCTTAGAGAATGAGAGAGAGAGAGAGAGAATTGAAAAGGTGTTTCTCTCTCTAGAATGGAGCGACAGCGAGCAAGCAGCACTGTTTGTCTCTCTCTGAGGAGTGAGGAGTGAGAACAGCGAAGAAATGAACGTACAGTGTATAAAAGTTGAGCTGGAGAGACTGAATCTCGTGTGGCGCCACGTGCGTTTATCATACACACGAATCTACGGAAAAATTTAATATTATTCGGGTCCACCACTTATTCACTAATTTCTTTCCCATAATAAAACTTTTTATTATCTACCAAAAAGTTAAAATAAAAATAAAATTTTTATTCCATTTCTGTTTCTTTTTTTAATTTTATTTTATTTCTTCTTCTTTTTTAATTTTTTTTCTCTCAATTCCTTTTTTTTTCTATTATGAACCAGGCCACCAAAAAAATATCTCTGAATCTACCTAGTACGTACACCTATTAATATCTTTCCCAATTTGCTAAGATGCAGAACTGATTCTTAATATACTTTTATTTAATTCATACCTTTATACCAAAATTCAATACTTTTTTATTAAAAAAACACATATATTTTTAATTTTATATTACTTTTTTTTATTTTGTAATTGATTTTTCATATAAATTCTTTGCCTTAATTAACATTTTAAAAATAAATAATTATTTTAATTGAAAAATATCTTGTCAAATTTTTAAATTTAGTTAAAATTTTAAAAATAGAAATAAGAAATAGCTGAAAATATAAGAAATATAAATTTAAAATTGGTTTGGGTTAAATTTAAAATTTATATCAAAAGAAAATATTTTAAACTTTTAGTAAATATATATATATATAATTAATTCAAAAGAATTTGAATTCAAAAGAAATTAATAGTGCATTCTAATTTAATGTTACAGGGAAAAAATGAAAATTTTAATATAAAAGAATTTTGAAGAAATTAATTTGAAAATATTAGCAGTTAAGATTGAAAAAGAAAAGAAAATTTAATATAAAAATATTTAAATAATTATTTTAAAAGTAAAAGAAGAGATTTTAATGTGAAAAAATTAAAATTAATCAATAATTTAAAAGTTTTTAAAAATTAAAACAACTACAAAAATGCTAACTAACTGTAAAATGAGGTTCTTAATTAATGAGTAAGAAGGTAGAGACTTTACTTTATTATATAAGGATGGATTTATTACAAACTTATCCATGGTTCTTTTTCTTTTTCTTTTTATAAACTTTTCTTTTCTTTTTTTTAAGAAAATAATCATCTCATGTTACATGATATAATTATCTCATGCAACAGAAATAAAGTAGTGGGGTTCACTATTTTATTTATTTTTCTTTTTTAAAAAAAATAATAGATCTCACTATCTTATCTCTGTTGCATGAGATTGATAAATCCCTTTCTTTTTAATACATAATAAACTTTTCTTTTAACTTTCTAGGCTTTTTGACCCTTATAACCCTTTATTTATAATTAATTGCCAAATTGACCTTCATTATAAACTATTTCAAATATTTAACCCCCTCAAAAAACATAACACCAATCTGCCCATGTTTGACCGTTGACCACCAAGCCTACCCGGGTACACTCCTTCCTACCCGGGTATTTTTTGAAATTTTTTGCCTACCCGGGTAGGGACGGATGTAGCTGGGTATTTTTCTTGACACCTAGAAAATTGCTTGAATTATTTACCCGGATAAGAAGGGTTCTGTAAATCTCGAGGTACTTCCTCAGGGAACAATAGACCACCATCTGGATCTGGGAAGGCTGAACCTACACCAGGAAACTCAAATTCAAGTTCTAATAATTCTCATGAAACAACAAAATCCAAAACGAAAAGGCTTGGTTTCAATTGTAGCCCCCATTGCGAGTGTGGCTGCTGTAGCTTTTCTTCTCATTCCATTTTATGTATATTATTTCAGGAGGAGAAAGGATGGTGATTCACTAGTAATTCACCCTAGAGATCCATCTGATTCAGACAATACCGTAAAGATTATTGTTGCTAACAATACCAATGGAAGCATTTCCACTGTAACAGGGAGTGTGTCTGGGAGAAGAAACAACAGTGGAATTGGGGATTCTCATGTCCTTGAAGCTGGAAATCTTGTGATATCAGTTCAGGTTCTAAGAAATGTGACCAAGAATTTTGCCCCCGAGAATGAGCTAGGTCATGGTGGATTTGGCGTTGTTTATAAGGTAGTGTTTGGTTGGGGAGAAATTTTATAATACTAGGAAAATGTAAATACTAGGGATCTGGAGGAAAAGTGAGTTAGATAGGAAAGTTTTAAAAAAGTTATTTGGTTGGGAAAAATTTTACCAGGAAGATTGAATTAAATTTCTGAATGTGTGTTTGGTTGAAGATAAAATATTGATGGGAAAATTTAATGAAATTACGAAACTATCCTCGTAAAACAACCTTGGTTTTATTACATCCTTCGGACCACAATAAATAATGTCTCTGTCTTCCGTAAAGAAATGTGTTTGACTCATTCCATCGTTGTCTCCGTCTGTCCCCCCGAGTTCAGCTGAACCATATGCAAAGGCAGGGGGCTACTGTAGTGCAATTTACACCAGCCGTGGCACCAGTTCCTAAGTTTATGGAAACCATTTGCAGATTTGCATCCAGTAGACAGCATCTAAAAATCAACTTTGCAATGTGAATAACAAATAACAGAAAAAATCTAACCAGCACTTGAATCTAGATGGTAGGCTTTCATTCAAAAATATAAAAAGTGACAGAACAATATACCAAGATGTTCTGTCTGGTGGTATAAATCATATGTAAGCATAGTCCCTGGAGCTAATAAACCAAACAACCCTACCTCAAACCATATCTTAAATGCATCTTGTCACTACCTCCACAAGCACTTGTCTAATATTTTTAGCTCGGCACGAATGCAATCATTCCTCACCCATTTGAGCTTTCATGAAAGCTATTAAGGCCAAAGTAACCTTAACCAACAAAAGAACATAATTTCCAATACTATATGTATAAGCATTGGAACGTGACAACATGATCAGTATGTCTTCATACTGCCAAAAGAAACCAAGACGACAAGTCATCCTTGCCTGCAATACATGACCTCATTCCCAGTTAGCTAATAACATTACATGAAATTTGAATCACCATAAACAGAAATAGTCTCAATAATCTGGATACAATGTAATTAGTGTGTAACCAATCATTAAGAGTCCATCACTGCCATATGGACCATTGAACTAGAAGATGGCAGGAACTTTTTTTCCCAATTGAGGAAGACAACATTCCCTATTAGAATATAGAGAAAAGACGCCTCTGTTTGACAAAAAACATACATGGATTATGGGTGTATGTGATAAGAATCGCAGGGGTAAACTTGTCTGTGATAAAAAACTTTTTCATTTATCCGATTTTGAATAGCAATTCCACATCTTCAAACGGGTTTCTCAACAGTGCACTTCTCCAATTTTTGGTCTCTTCCTCCTTTGCTAGTCATCTGGTTTAGATGGGAAAATCAAGTGAAAAACCTCCAATCAAACGTGGTAATGACAGATACCCACATGCAGTTACCCATCAAAATTTTCACTTCTCCCCAACCAAACACCACATTAAGGGAGAATTGGATGATGGAACAAAAATTGCAGTAAAACGAATGGAAGCAGGTGTGATTAGTAACAAAGCCTTAGACGAATTCCTTGCTGAAATTGCAATTCTATCAAAAACCATGCAAACTACAAAAACGAGATTTACCTGGGTACACCTCTTCCTACCCGGGTAAATAATTCAAGCAATTTTCCAGGTGTTAAGAAAAATACTCGGGTACACCCCTCCCTACCCGGGTAGGCAAAAAATTTCAAAAAATACCCGGGTAAGGAGGGGTGTACCCGGGTAGGCTTTGTGGTCAACGGTCAAACATGGGCAGATTGGTGCTATGTTTTTTGAAGGGGTTAAATTTTCGAAATAATTTATAATGAATATCAATTTGATAATTAATTATTAATAAATGGTTATAAGGGTCAAAAAGTCAACTTCCTGGCACATTATCTTGAACCTTGTGATTTTTTAGAACTCAAAGCACCTTGTGTGTTAGTGGAAGTGAGTGGCAATTGATATTAGTTTACCAATGAGAGTGGATAAAATTTCACAACAGCAAATCATGTAAAAAAAATTTTATTTATATATATTAAATAAGTGGGATCCAATTATTATTAATGAAAACAATATATACACAAAAATTTCATTAAATCAGATTATATGAAATTTTAACATGAGAGGATTGACATCCTTTACCAATATCAGCTTCCGAAAAAAAGTAAGCTTTTGATTTTTTTTATACTTCTCTTTTTTTCAAAAGCATGCATCCAAACAGACTTTTCTCGATAAGTACTTTTTTCTTAAAAAAAAGCTCATCCAAACGAGCTCTAAGGGTGCGTTTGTATTGATTTTTAAAAAAAGTCATTTTTATCATTTCCTTATTTTAAAAGTACTTTCTATAAAAGTTACAACTATTTAGATTTTTTAAAAAATATTTGATTTAAAAAAAAAAGATATTTGGCTTTTGACTTCTACTTTTTTAAAAGTTAAAATTTTTAGCTCCCGAAAAAAGTAAATTTTTGACTTTTTTTATGACTTCTGTTTTTTTTTTAAAAGCTGGCATCCAAACAAACTTTTTTCAAGAAGTGCTTTTTTTTTCTTAAAAAAAGCCCATCCAAACGAGCTCTAAGTCTCTTGCACTAATGTGTCTATGGAATCATCTTCATATTGCTGCATGCCTGCATTTATGCAAGTTGGGTATATTATGGGACATCTTCTCATGTATGTTGATCTATTATGTGCGTTTGCAATAACTTTTTTAGTTTTACTCTAACTTTTATTTCATTCCTTGGACAATAATTTCAAACACTTATTGAATTTTGGTTAGGAGAATCCAAATTCAATGCATAATTTAAGCATTCAAAGATTATTCTTTACCATTTCGCTTACATTCTTTAATAATCGATTGCTTAAATCGCGTTCTTTACATTTTCTCCTCTAGCTATATCATTACTATACCCAAAATCCAAGTCTTTCCAATGGGAGGAAAAAAGAAAAAATTAATATGAACAATATTCCTCCAGTCTCCAGACGATA